TTGCAGCGTGATGTTATATAGCCTAAAGCCTTCCTCGATAAATGGTCTATTCATCACAAAAATAATTTTCAATTCGAACCAGTAGTTCCTGAGATTAGCGCGTTCAAATAAAAAAACAAACAAACTCTTCAGCTTTATAATATTAGTATATATATATATATATATGTCGGCGAGAAGGCGCTTCGATTGTGCGAAACGCCGTCTGTCACCTGCAGCTGTTCGAAGATGGCACTAACACTTTACGTTGTGCGACCATATTGAGCCGACGCCAGCACAGAACTCTCCGCGTTTCGTATCGCAATCCGTTTGCATCGCGTTATTATTAATGTACTCCGATTAGATAATTAGATAATTGTACTCCGATTAGACATGGGCGGTGATGCAGTCTCTCCAAAGGTGCCAAGTGGACTACAGGTACATCGAAGCACTAAAGTGTGTGTATATTCAGCTCGGATGGGCAGCGTTTGAGAAGCTACAAAAAATCTTCGCGTCCAAATTACCACAGTGTCTCAAGACCAAGGTCTTTAATCAGTGTGTGTTGCCAATGATGAATTACGGAAGCGAAACGTGGTCGTTCACTATGGGTCTCATAAGAAGGCTCAAGGTCACCCAGCGGGTAATGGAGAGAGCAATGCTTGGCATCTCTCTACGTGATCGAATTCACAATCAGGAAATCTGTAGGAGAACTAACGTTACTGACATTGCTCAAAGAATTGCTCGGCTGAAGTGGCAGTGGGCGGGACACATAGCGAGAAGAACTGATGGCCGTTGGGGCAGAAGAGTTCTGGAATGGCGACCACGTACCGGACGGCGCTCATGTGGGTAGGCCCCCTTCCAGGTGGACCGACGATCTTATAAAGGTTACGGGAAGCCGTTGGATGCGGGCTGCACAAGACCGATCGTCGTGGAAATCTATGGGGGAGGCCTATGCTCAGCAGTGGGCGTCTTACGGCTGATGATGATGATAGGTACCTATGTACCGTGTATACTAAACATGTGCATTTAGTAAATAACGGTTAATTTGTATTTGTTAAAATAAAATTAAGATCCGTTCATTCAATCATCGGGAGCTCCCCAACCAAAGAGTAAAGTTACCTTTTTGTTCGTGGGAGTATTCCAGGGTTGCCATAATAAGTAATAGAATATCTACTAATAATAATTACACTCACGATCCGCTATGGGTTGCTAAGCCATTGAAGTAAAGTAAGTAGATACTATACTAACGTTTTAAACTATTCCTATTGCTAACATTTTAAGAAATAATCGATGGTTTATCGACGATTATTAAATCATAATCGACAGCAATCGATTATTTGAAAAATCGATTAATCGATCAATGGTAATCGATTCCGCACACCATTAATATATAGATATATTTAAGTTAAGTTCGCATTGGATTGAAAATTAATATAAAAGATATTATCTTAAAACAAGTATTTTTATGAAACGTTATAATGTACTAGTATTTTTATTGAATCGGCAATCTACTTATAATTATAATACACTTGTAATTTTGTAAAATGCTATTATAAAGTATGGATTTTAGTTAAACATATTGAAAAATGCTAAAATAATCCACATTGACCCTGCTACTCTGAGGTGGGATTCGTACCCACGACCGTTCTAAATCCGGGCACCCTGAGCTACCCAAGATCTAGGTAACAGGACCGAAGATTTCTTCAAGCACTTGTTACTTGTTTTAAGATTTTTTTATTGTGAATGCAAAATTAATCAAATATAATAAATAAATTGATTTATCATAAAACTTTTTTTTTTCAATATTTATTAATCGTTTTCTGAAACCCCGCTAGATTCACGTTAATATTGTAATTTGTGCCTGTTTTGTCATTTTTATCTATTAAGTCTCATATATAAACATGAAACGACTCTGGAGCAGTTTTGGGCCATAGACAATAACACTGATAAAGAATATGGTGTGCCATTTACAATACTTGGTTTTGTTCGTTTCATTGTTATAATAATTTCTATTTTAAATTTATATTGCTTTAATTTATTTTACTAAGCAAAGTTTACCTAATTGAAATGTATAAAAACAATATTTTATTGCTGTGTGTCTTTTCTTCTTGAATATTATATTGTTAAACATATGTTCAGAAAAATTGGGACTTTTTAATAAGATCGTTAAATTCCAAGAATTACGCCCAAATTTCTAGACATTGTATGTTACATGAAAGTACTTACAACCTGTTATTTACAGTATAATAAAATAAAAAACGATTACACTTTTGAAGTCGTTTTGGTTATTTTTTTATATTCTCAAAAAGGCCGTATTTAACATCATAGTAATAACCGTGACGTTAAAATACGCCCTTTTTGAAGTCTGTTACTTTTATAGAGAGAAGGCGTAACTGAAAAAAAGCTGGTTTCCGGCAATAAGAAATTGTCACGAAAAGTTTATGGGCGATTTGACTCAGATTTAAATGGTATAAAAAGTATGTTTATGATTCAAATTCTATTCTCGTGAATCACATTGACTACTTGACTGTAGTTGATGATTTTAATCAAAATTTTATAAATTGGTATTCTAATTATAGCTGCATTTACTCTGTTCTCACTGAATAAAGCTATAATTTGTGATGTTTGCTTATAGTTTTTTTGTCAACAAATAACCTTCATCAGCACAATAATACTAAAAATTATCTTGGTAAAACTTTGGATCTGGTCTTGAGTAATCAAGAACACTAGCATATTTTCCACCCCTAAGACTTATTAATTAAATTGGATAAGCACCACCCATAATTACTAATTACTCTTAATTTAGCAAATGTTACTTATTACGGAGAAATACATAACTTATGAAGAAATTACTAATAATAACATCTGTAGCATTCAGTTGAGTTGAGTCACAGGGGCTTGCGCAAATAAAAAAAAAACAATATTACCAAGGGCTGACCTAATAATATACTTCTATTATTTTTAATGTTATGCTATTCTGCTTTTGCATCACCTTTTATTTAGAACTTACTTCGACAGGTAAAAATATTATAACAAACCTTATCACAAGAAAAAATGAAACAAAATTAAGGCATCAGTAAAAAAATATAATTAGGGCAAATAAATGGTTTGAACTTATTTCTTTACAAGTAAAAATAGTTAACTAAAACTTATTAAGTTAATATTATAACTTACTATTTACTTTCGATCAGGTGTATTGCACTTACACTTTGTAATATCATTATAAAAAAAATACGTGAAAAAAATCATTCTCTAAAAACAGCGCTAAATTTAATTGAACAAAAGAGAGCTAGAAGCCGTTTGCCTTCGACCTGACGGTTAAATATCGAGACAAATCTAAACCTAGTCCATTTGCCATCATGACAATCCATGACAGACCACTAAGCTTAACAATGATTCCGACCCCAAGCAAAAGAACAAGGGATGGAAGAAGAATAGTAATCTGAGTAATTTATATGATGTATAGAATATTACTTCACCCGTGTAAGTTACAGCCTACATAAACCATAAGCGTATTATGTAGCCATCCCATAGATAAAATATTTTTTTAATATTGGTTGTTTAGTAGTTTGGCAGCCTATTTAAAACGTGTTAGTATAATTAAAAACTGTAGTATTTCGGTGGATTGCCTGAGCATCGATGAGAATACGCTCTGTAGTAGCGAGAAAGTAACAAGTGCTTGAAAGATTCGTCAGACCTGTTCGGTCCTGGGTAGCTCCTACTCTACCATATACAACACATACACATACAGTCACACATCCACAGTTACACACACATTTGCATACACACACTTTCACACACACATTCATACACCTTACACACTCATCTACACGCCGTACTAGTCTAGTGTAGTATGGTGGGTACTTACCTGGGGACTTACCTGCTGTGCTCGCTCGACGACTGGTGCGGCGCCGGGACCTCGGTAGGGCCGTAGCCGCGGCGCGACGAAAAGGGTTGCGATCCGTAGAACGGCTGGACGCGCCCTGTCTGCTCCTCGGAGCTGATACAGGGCGTGATGAGGTCGGTCTTCTGTGGCGCATCGACCTATGGGGGGGGGGATCCACGATAAGGGCTCTGCCTGTGTGGATCCTCCCAACACGATGGGTAGGGGATCGGAGATTGCACAATCGCGCATCTCTGGTCTCTAGTCGGGGGCAGCTGGCCGGTTCGCGCACCGGTCGGTATTGCACGCTCCCGCCTCGTCGTGGGGGTGCATTTCGAATGTCTCTGAGATGTACCCCCAATCCGCGGAGGGACCTGCCCTTTTCAGGGCGGGCCGAAATGGGGGCGAACCGCGCGGTGTATGGCGTTCGGGCCGATCCCGTGCATCGTCTTCCATGCGAGGGACATGGCTGAGTTTTAGTAGTGGGTAAACTCCTGTTTCGTGTCTAGCCCCTTCGGGGATGGGACCACAGGAGGAGTCCCACATAATCCGTGGAGCCCGCGTTGGGTGAAACGGGTATGAGTAACGCATTTCTCAGCGTCAAAAAAAAAAGGTCAGCTCAAACTGAAGAGCTCAACTGAGCTCTGGGTAGCTCAGTGGTTAGAGTAATCGCCCGGATTGCGAAAGGTCATGGGTTCGAATCCCATCTTAGGGTGCCAGGGATCAAGTCGATTTTTAAGCTGTTTTTATTAAGAATATTTTTCAGCATAGCATTATGAATGCGAAATTGATCAAATGTATTATATTAAATTATTATTTATTTATTTATTCTTCATTACACAAACAACAAATGTAAAAATTGACGACTTAAGGCAGTCTCTGCCAATCAACCGGAGAGTTATATACAGTATTATTTGTGTGAAGTTATAGTTTTCGGCATTTGCGGACTTTTTGTAGCTTGCGCAAGTGTGTTTATTTGCAGACATATATAAATACTGTGTTTAAAAAATTATATTGTTGCAAAATTGTAATAAGCGATTTTATGAAAAAAGCGTTATTCACCTAAAAATGTATAACAATATACAGAATTCAAATCTTTTATTAGTTCCACATCGGAAGCGTAAAATTAATATTTTAATGATTACAGGGGTATAGTCGAGCAGCCGCAGTTGCCAGCGATAGAGACGACGCCACTGGCGGGTATCGCACCAGAGAAGCCAACAGCACCGAGCACTGGGATCTGTCCGCCAACCACGGCTTGACCGCCGACGCCGAAGTCACCTCCGACCACGAGCTCAGCATTGCCACTAGCGGTGAAGGGGCCGGTAACGGGCACCTGGGACGTAGCAGCTACGTTTTGTACGCCGAGACCAGCGCCGTATCCGAGTCCGGCAACCCCTAAGCCAGCATTGTTCAATCCACCTACAGCCAAGCCGGCGTTACTAAGACCAAGTCCAATGTTGCCAACTCCAAGACCAGCCACGCCAACATTCTCCAATCCAACTGCAGTTAAACCAGCATTACCAAGGCCTAACCCAAGGTTGTTAACACCAAGACCACCAAGGCCAAGTGTGTTCAGCGCAAGGCCGTTGTTATTAAGGCCACCATTTTCCAAGTATCCACTTAGTCCAGCCAAACCACTGCTGGCAGCAATGGCAGAAAAATCGACGCCAGTGTCACCCAAAAAACCATAGTTGAAGGGTCCAAATTGACTGTAGGCATTCTGTAAAATAATAAAATATTTCGCATTTAATTTAAATATTTTTATTTAGCGATAACATAACTGAACTACCATTTTAAAAATATGTATTAATTATTTTAAAATTTGAATATATTCTATTGCAAAACTAAATTGAAAAATGAATGGAATATCTGGATTAGCAAAGGCATTCTGTAAAATATGTACTTAAATTTTAATTATAAAAAACATAGATGTTTTGTTTGTTTTGACGTGAAAGCAAAAATGTCAAATGTAATGATAAAAACTAAGTATTTTTTTCATCACTTTTATAATATGCATCAATTATTAAGAATATTAGATTTATAATATACATATATTTTCATTTATTAAATAAAATTTAAAAATAATTATGTAAATCATACCTGTATTAGCAAAGCCTGAAGGCAGATCAAGAAAAAAGTTGAAGAACGCATGACTGTTATTGATATACCTGACGACTTTTGAATGATAACTGAAAAAAAGAAGTTGACTTTTATACCCGCAAGGAAATTGTTTTGTAATTTCTATTAGTTGATAGGCCGAACGCTGGATTTTCAACTTATTGTCACGTAATGTATCAATATTGTCAAGTTTTGAAATGAAAACTGATAGCCTGAAACTGTACAACGAGGTTATTGAAACATAGCATATATAAATAAGAGCACTAATTGCATAATTACATTTGTATAAAAGCTACTGTTCAGATACATATGTATCATAGTCTCGTTTTGGAAACCAAAATGGCAGCTCAAAAAGTTCTCATTGTCGCTTTGGCTCTCCTCGTCCAGGTAAATTAAATAGACATATAATTTATTAACAATTAGCTGATTTGAAGGTTATTAAATATATTAAATTAATCGCTATAAAATTTCTTGTTTCATACTTTCTAGAACGTGATTTAGCTGTAGTCGGGATTTTCTTTTTGAACTTATTTTTTATTAAAATGATAAGCTTTAAGCTTCGAAAAAACTTTTTTTAAATTATGTTGAGCGAATTGTTAATATAAACAAAACACCTACATGAAGTATTAAGTAACTTATTTGAAAGCAAATAAATTATTATTAATATAAAAAATCACTTTCTTAAACTCAATATCATTTTGTAAATTTAGCTGCATATCTAGGATAGTATCGCAACATTAAATGTTTTTATAATTTAAAGGTTGTTTTCGGGCAAGTTTACACCGGCAACACGTTTGTGGAAAATTTCGTCTCAGGAAACTCTGGAGCAAACCCCATCAACGTAGCTAACTCCGGAATCGGTTCCTCTGGAGTTGCTAATACTGGATTCGGCAGCGCTGGTCTGATTAACACAGGATTTGCAAACGGCTTCGGTTCGCTTGGCACAGGCATAGGAAGCGGTGTCGGTGTGATTGGCGGAGGTATTGGCAGCGGCGTCGGTGTGATTGGCGGAGGTATCGGCAGCGGAGTCGGTTTAATTGGCGGTAACACTGGTCTCGTTGGTACTGCATTGAATGGCGTAACGTTCAACCTCGGTGGCCTTAGTATCGGTTCCAGCAGCCCTCTGGTCGTCACTAACATCTCTCCTATCGGTCCCAGCGGTCTCGCTGTAGCGTCAGAGAACGTGATCGACGGCACCTTATTGGTGAGCGGTTCTCTGCCGTTCCTGAGTGCGGTGTCGTTCGAAGGTACGCTGCCCACGGCTGGTTCTGGTATCGCCACGTGTGGTTGCGGTAATGGCGCTGTTGGAATCATCAACGTTTAATTTTCTATACACTCACGGTATTAACAGGCAATCTGCGCTTAACTGGAATAAAATTCATTTAATAGCTAAATATGTTTATATATTATTCATCCTTCTGTATTTCGTTACCTATATTGTATCACGAAAACAAAATTGAAATTAAAGTAAGCCTTCTTGCTTAATAACGTAGATAGTCATACTTTTGTGAAAGATCCGAGTTAGCTTAGATATTGGTAGTTAAATGAAAAGGCTGACTAGGTTTGACACAATGAGTTTAATAACTAGAGAAGCAATCGCATACAACAGACGCGCCAAAAAGCGTAGTATTTTTCCGAAATCAGGACGTAGCTTTGCAAATAACATTTATACCGTATAATATAAATAGATTTAGTATGTTGGCTCCCTCATATCTACGATTAAAGTATACACATTATGATGAATGGATTCATTTATTAATTAATAAAAGGATAATGTAGATATGTGTTTAAAATAAATTAGTAAAATACTTTTACTTTGAAAATTTCTTTAATATACCTATTTAAATCAAGAAAATAATTGTTCGCTGTCTTTTATAATTTTGCCTCTTTATTATTTATATTAGAAGACTTAGAAATAAAACTAGTTTGAATTATGGGTGTATACAATTAGTTTCTTATACAAATTCTCGATTTTGTTTCAAGATGACGTAAATAACTAAACAGATTCCATTCGGTAGAGTAGTGAATGTTTTAATTTTATCACAATGTATCTCGTCAAATCTTGCAACTGAATTTAAAAGCAATTATCCCCAATCTGTTAAGCTGAAACTTCACACATATTTAGTGTAGATGGCATGCACAGTTAGTTAAGTGATATTATTTTAAATTATATATGAGGGGTGCCCTAAATGCGGCTTAATCACGAGAGAATAGTGAAAAAAAAAACTGTACACTTTCATGGTATGAATATCAAATGGTTATTCATATCATGAAAGTATGAAATTTGTGTTTAAACCTAAATATAAAATATAGCATTTTGTATGTAAACTTCAAATATAATATTGTTGTTTTTTAATATTCTCTGTAAAAAAAGTGAAATTTTATTCAATTTCATAATTATAGTCTTTTTAGTGGGGAAAACCACTTCAATAGTTTTTTGCACGCCGATTTCAAGGTTCCACCATCTCTGAGGTCCCGAGTTCGATTCCCGGTCGGGTCATAAAAGAAAATGAACTTTTCTATAGTGCCTCAGGTCTGGGTGTGATACTTTCGTTGTCTCATATACTTTATAATCCTGTATGGGATTGATTCTCTAGTTATTAAATTAATTGTCTTTCTCGGCGGGAGTTGAATAAGTATTGAAGTGAAAAACGAAAATTCTAAGACAACGTTTTGTTTTAGTAGCTTCACATATTTAACTGTAACGACAAAAATGAAAATAATATTAAAACGGTTTGTTATGCATTTTCGAAAATTGTAATAGTATATATAAACAAAACACTTACTTTATTACATACCCAGTTTATGGGTTTTCCTTAGAACTTATAGTCCGATCTCAGAGTGGCACAGAACAATAGTGCGTTCAGAACAATAGGCGTGAGACACAATTTTAGATTATTTATAGAAGTGCAAAATAATATTTATTTCAATAACGCTTAAAATGAAAAAACACAGTAGGTACATAAAAATATATATTATAACATATATAACTACCCAAATAAGCATAATACGGTCGAATTGAAAAACTACTCCTTTTTTGAAGTCGGTTTTAAAATCAAACACTATCATGCGTTTGAAATTTCGTAGCTATAAACAAATGGGCAACAAAATAATTTATAAATGTCATAAAGATTTATTTTTTTAATCTGATTTTTTTAAACATTCGTTCAAGACTGAATTGATAATTACAAGCATAATAATATTTTTGTTGCAGTATAATAACGCATAAGCATAATAACATACGTGTTTGGGCAAAAAAGATTAATTTTTGTTTTATAAAGAGAAATAACTGAAAAAAGAGAAAAGTACCAAATATTTTTTGTCTTGAATAAAATCAAAACACAAAAAGTGGATTTTTTTTTACCAGATATATATGAAAAAATATCGTGTATGGTAAGAGAAAACTAGATAATTACTTATGACACATTTTCTGCTCTTGCTGTTTTACTTCTTTACTTTTAGTTTTAAACCAGGTGTTATTTTAATTCGTATAAATAAGTCTTGTTATCAAAGATTCAATTGTCTGACAATCACTTAACGAGTGTCAAACCCATGATAGTGAATATATGTATTTTAACCTAATTAAAAAATGAGTAGTTTTTCCATTCAATGGTATTATATACTTTTATGTGGGTAGTATATTTGTTTTATTTTTTGATATGCTGTATTTTTTTATTTTAAACCGGAACACAAATAATATCAATTTTATATATAGAAGTGAAATTATTTTATTTTACCATTGAATTATTTACACTGTTTATTTTGTGCTAGATTCCCGTATCCAATCTATTTGTCTCTGATCTTTACGATAATTTATTTTTCAATGCAGTTGCTCATAAAGCGGTTTTTTTTTAATCCATTGTAAACACCGAAAGTGAGTCTTTAAACAAGTGTTAAATAAAAATGTACTGAAATCCTTTACTGCACACTTGCTTAAGAGTTTTTTTAATTTTTTTTTGGCCGAGCACCAAAGAAATTTAAAAAATATTGATGAAAATATGTCATACTTTAGAGGCAAAAGTATTTTAAGGAGCCTAGAACGAATATTTTCAAATAAAAATGTATGACACGAAAACATGTTCAAATATCACCTTATTATCAAATAATTTTTACCTTTAATACATACTTAGTTTTATTAACCTATATATTTGTTTTATTTGCTCGCAAAAAGCATTGAAAAATGTTGTAAGAAACTTGAGCGTAAAAGGTTTTTCGAGTATGACACGAAAACAAGTTCAAATATTACCTTATTATCAAATAATTTTTACCTTTAATACATACTTAGTTTTATTAACCTATATATTTGTTTTATTTGCTCGCAAAAAGCATTGAAAAATGTTGTAAGAAACTTGAGCGTAAAAGGTTTTTCGAGTATGACACGAAAACATGTTCAAATATCACGTTAAATTTTAACAAATAATTTTTACCTTTAATACATACTTAGTTTTATTAACCTATATATTTGTTTTATTTCCTCGTAAAAAGCATTGAAAAATGTTGTAAGAATCTTGAGCGTAAAAGGTTTTTCGAATTCGTGCCAATGAAAACCCTCGCTACGCTCGTGTTTTCAATTTGGCACTCGTATCTTAATTAACTATTTTATTATTCGCTTTCCGTAATTTGAAGTTCTTAGAAACATATCGTGTTCATTCTGAATTTTAATTTTCAAAAATTATTCCAACAGCAAGACGTTTATCACTGAATATTAATAAAATATTTTAAAAGTATTTATGTAACGATACATTTGGTAACGAAATACAGAATAATACAAAACATATTTAGCTATTAAAAGAATTTTATTCCAGTTAAGCGCAGGTTGCCTGTTAATCCGTGAGTGTATAGAAAATTAAATGTTGATGATTCCAACAGCGCCATTACCGCAACCACACGTGGCGATACCAGAGCCAGCCGTTGGCAGCGTACCCTCGAACGCCACCGCACTCAGGAACGGCAGAGAACCGCTCACCAACAAAGTGCCGTCGATCACGTTCTCTGACGCTACAGCGAGACCACTAGGACCGATAGGAGATATGTTACTGACGACCAGAGGGCTGCTGGAACCGATACTAAGGCCACCGAGGTTGAACGTTACGCCATTCAATGCAGAACCGATAAGACCAGTGTTACCGCCAATTAAACCGACTCCGTTGCCGATACCTCCGCCAATAACACCGGCGCCACTGCCAAAACCTCCGCCAATCACACCGACGCCGCTTCCTCCTGTGCCAAGCAAACCGAGGCCGTTTGCAAATCCTGTGTTAATCAGGCCAGCGCTGCCGATTCCAGTATTAGCAACTCCATAGGAGCCGATTCCGGAGTTAGCTACGTTGATAGCATTTGCTCCAGAGTTTCCTGAGACGAAATTTTCCACAAAGGTATTGCCGGTGTAAACTTGGCCGAAAACAATCTGTAAATTAGCAAAACATTTATAGTTGCCTAACTGTTTCACATGTGCACTTCGATTAAAAGTTTGATTATATTGAATTAAATAAAGTGACTTTTTTAATTCACCAACACCAGCCTGTTAATGTCCAAATTGCTGAGACTCAGGACTTCCCTATTGATGAAAACGAATCAAATCGAATAGGGAGAATGGCTCACTATACGCACCCAGTGCGTATTGGTGGGTATTAAAGACTGCAGATGTAGCAGGGCATAATGTGCCTTTTGAAGCACGGAGGAAATAATTTAAACGATGATTATGCTACGAGCTAAGCTTGATCTTTATCACTTACAAAAATACTAGGAGATTCTTTAGTCGTAGTATATCAGCAAATTTAAACAATAATTTCTCTAATTCATTATCTTTGAAGCCAGTAACTGTTAAAATGTTTTATGTTTTAGATATTTAAGTACCTGAACGAGGAGAGCCGAAGCGACAATAAGAACTTTTTGAGCTGCCATTTTGGTTTCCAAAACGAGACTATAATTGTTATGTGACTATTATTGTTATGTGTCAGTGGCTTATATACATATAGAATTACGGTAATATATACCCCTCTATATATGTGCTCTATTTCAATAACCTCATCAAACAATTTCAGGTTATCGACTTTTCCATTTCAAAACTTAATGATTTGTTTCATAACATGACAATAACATAATTTGAAATCCAGCATGTGACTGATAGGAATTACAAAATAATATTTTAGCAATATAAAAGTCAGCCTCTTTCTTGGAGCTATTATTCAAAGGTCAGTAGACATAGGAATAACCGTCATGCGTACTTCAACTTTCGTCTTGATCTGCCTTCAGGCTTTGCTCATCCAGGTATTCAATTCATTTTTCAATTTTATTTCTGCAATAGAATGTATTCAAATTTTAAAACAATGAATAAATATGTTTAAAATGCTGGTTTAACTATGTTATTGCTAAATAAAAATATTTAAATTAATTGCGAAATATTTTATTATTTTACAGAATGCCTACAGTCAATATGGACCCTTCAACTATGGTTTCTTGGGTGACACTGGCGTCGATTTTTCTGCCATTGCTGCCAGCAGTGGTTTGGCTGGACTCAGTGGATACTTGGAAAATGGTAACAACGGCCTTGCACTGAACACACTTGGCCTTGGTGGTCTTGGTGTTAACAACCTTGGGTTAGGCCTTGGTAATGCTGGTTTAACTGCAGTAGGATTGGAGAATGTTGGCGTGGCTGGTCTTGGAGTTGGCAACATTGGACTTGGTCTTAGTAACGCCGGCTTGGCTGTAGGTGGATTGAACAATGCTGGCTTAGGGGTTGCCGGACTCGGATACGGCGCTGGTCTCGGTGTACAAAACGTAGCTGCTACGTCCCAGGTGCCCGTTACCGGCCCCTTCACAGCTACTGGCAATGCTGAGCTCGTGGTCGGAGGTGACTTCGGCGTCGGCGGTCAAGCCGTGGTCGGCGGACAGATCCCAGTGCTCGGTGCTGTTGGCTTCTCTGGTGCGATACCCGCCAGTGGCGTCGTCTCTATCGCTGGCAACTGCGGCTGCTCGACTATACCCCTGTAATATCATTAAAATATTAATTTTACGCTGCCGATGTGGAACTAATAAAAGATTTGTATTCTGTATATTGTTATTAATTTTAAGGTAAATAACACTTTTTTCATAAAATCGCTTATTACAATTTTGCAACAATATAATTTTTGAGACACGTAGTATTTATATACACATATGTCTGCAAATAAACACACTTACACAAGCTACAAAAAGTCCGGATGCCGATAACTATAACTTCACACGTATAATACTGTATATACGTTATATAGTATTCTAAGTCACCGGTTGATTGGCAGAGACTGCCTTAAGGCATTAAGTCTGCCATTTTTTCATTTTTTGATTGTATAATAAATAAATAAATAATAATTTATTATAATACATTTGATTAATTTCGCATTCATAGTGCTATGCTGAAAAATATTCTTAATGAAAAGTGCTTAAAAATCGACTTGGTCCCTGACACCCTAAGATGGGATTCGAACCCATGACCTTTCGCAATCCGGGCGATTACTCTAACCATTGAGCTACCCGGGACCTTACAGGACTGACGAATCTTTCAAGCACTCGTTACTTTTTCGCTACTACAGGGCGTATTCTCATCAATGTTCAGGCAATCCATCCAAACAGCCAAAAAAAATATTGCTAAGAAAATCATAATATAATTGAAATTAAAGATGTATTAAATAGGCTGCAAAACTACCAAACAAACCAATTTCAAATTATTTTATCTATGGGAAGCTACATAATACGCAGGTTATGTAGATGTAACTTAGACGGGCGAAATACGGGAAACAGCTATAATAAATAAAGTTGTAATATTCTACAGCATATAAATTACTTAGATTATTATTCTTCTTCCATCCCTTGCCTTTTGTTTGGGATCGGAATCCTTGTTACGCTTAGTGGTCTGTCTTGGATTGTCAAATGGACTCGCTTTAGGTTTATCGATATTAAATTGTCTTGAATTGAACAACCCTGGCTTAGGGCTTGCTGGCCTCAAATATGGGACTGGTCTCTGTGTACAAAAAGTGGCTGCTACTTTCTAGGTGCCTGTCACCGGCCCGTTCACCGCTACTGGCAACGCCGAGCTCCTGGTCGGAGCAGACTTTGACATTGGCGCTTAAACTGTACTCTGTGGTCAAAATCCAGTGCTCGGCGCTGTTAGCTTCTCTGATGTGAAACCTGTCAGTGGTGTCGTCTCTTCTGTAAAATTGTGAATTATTCATTTTTCACTACCGACAGAGAATAGTAGGCACGACAAATGCTTATAAAAAAGTATATGATAAGCATTCCTCACACTCATTTTTTTTTCTTTTTTTTTTCGCTGTAGTTTAAGAAAATTACTTTTAACACGATTGCTCAATAAGAGTGTATTTTATTTATTTAGGATTATTGTCTATGACGTAAGTAGTTTTATTTGTATTAGGATAATTGATTCCATTGTTTTATAAAGTATATACAATTATTCACAAAGTTTAAAAATGTTTGGCTTGGTCATGCAGGCAAGTAAAAACTTCACTAAGTCATCTACTCCAGTGCACTGGTACGAGTATTACTCACTGATTCGACCTCAACTTGAATATGCTGTGCCCGTCTGGAATCCCTATTATGATAAATACATCAAGGCTCTTGAAACCGTACAGAAAAATTTCCTTCGGTCTGTACAATACCGGTGCTATCGAAGTCGGCTAACTTATTGGCAACTCTGCGATAAATACGACGTCCTCAGTCTCAAAGACAGATGATTGATACTGAATGTAAAGATACTTTACGATATATGTTACAATATGTACGAGTGTTTCTTATTAGTAAGTAAATTAATTATATTACAAAGTTCCTATTAGGACCCATATCCGAAAATCTACTGCATTGTTTGCGACTAGCAGCTGCCGCACTAATGCTGGAATTTTTCAACGTAATATACATTCAAAATTTGCGGCCAGGAGTTTTTATACAGGAATTGTACAAATCACTGATTAATACATAAAGAGATGTATAAAATTTGACAAATTATCCACCTCAATCTCTTTCTAACTTAGACCAAGTTTCTCTTACATTTCATATGTTTAATGTTATTTTATTGTGGTAAATGTCGTCGGTTGCATAATTATTGAATTGTTTTGTAATATTTTTGTATAATACATTGTATTTTGTCATTGTTTGTGTTACTTAAATAAATGGAAAAAATAGTTTTACATTTTCATCTCATTTTATTTTAATTAAACAAATTGGTACAGAAACCCAATTTAAATACAAATATTTATTGTTACAAACCTATGAAATACAATAATACATATTTACATAATTTTACAAAGGTTATAGTTTCTTGTTGGAGTGCTTAATATAATGTTTCTACAAAATAAGTGAAAGGAAAAGTAACAACTCCTGCTACTGAGAGGTAAAGCTACTATTACACAGCAGGAAAAGTATTTAAAGGAAAATGTTACATCTTAGTAGATTTGGAAGTTGATTAAAAATCATAGCTGACGTTTCATTAATGACAACACAACTAAATATTATTGACAAAACTATTTCTGACGATAGGTTGGAGGAGCGTATTGTTATCTTAAAAGCAAAGATGTATCGGCTATTGAAAGAATTATTAAAAAATACATTTTCCAAATCACCAGAAACTTACGGCGCAAAGCTGCCAGAATTGAATTTATCAATTTCTGACGGGAAAGACAATACATCATATAAACTTTTCATAGAATTGTTTCAAGCAATGGTCAATAGCGTTGAAAGAATTTCCAAAATCCAAAAACTATGTTTCTTAAAGAAATATTTAAGATGTGAACAATTAATTGATAATTTACCAATAATAGTTGATTCCTATATTTCAGCTTTGAACCTACTACCAAGCAGATACTAGAACACAGTCCTACTGGTAAATAACCATGTTACTATATTATCAGATTTACCCAGCATGACCAAAGGGACAGCGAGTCTGCCGAGAAAATTTGGAGCGAAGGTTAGACAGTATTGGACAGCGTTAAAAAAATGACATATCGAGTCTATTGAGGACTTAAATACTATATTTTCAACCATATTACTACATAAGCTTGACACTTACACTGCTCGACTGTATCATACTGACAGGGATACTACTCAGATACCCTCAATTGATAGCATATTAATTTTTCTCGATAAGCGCTCCGCTTCTTTGGAAGCAAGTCCAAATTTCACACCTGATAAAGAATTTGCGAAATCGATCCAGGCGTTCACATGTGATAGCATGACCAAGGGAAAAAGGGAATTGTTTTTATATATTTTTATCATGTATGGTAAGAGAAAAGTAGATAATGACTTAAAGTACATGTTCTGATAGTGCTGTTTTACTTCTTACTAATGACACGGCTGGTACCAAGGATTGTGTTTCGATTTTATTTACCCAGTTTGTCAAGAACCAGGTGTCATTTAAATTCGTATAAGAAGGTATTCTTATCAAAGATTCAATTATATGACATTCACTAAACAAGTGTTAAACGCATGATAGTGTGTGTATTTTCTCAATTCGACTGTACTTTTTTATGGGTAGTGTATGTAATGTTTTATTGTATTATACCTTTTTTTATTTTAAGCATTATTATAAAAATATATTTTAGTACTTCCAATCAATCTTAAATGGTGCTTCGTACCTATACTTCTACCCTCTTTTCGTATTTAGCTAGCTAAATTTAGTTATAATTTTAAAGCATATTTTAGCATTGTATTAAATTATCCCTAACAAAAGTACTACTTTTTACTTGTTACTAATAAGATGGCTTCATTTTATTTCAATTTTTCTCGTGATATGTTAGATAACAAAATACAGAAAGGTAGATAATACAAAACATAATTTGTTACTAAAAGATTTTTATTTCAGTTAAATGCAGATTGTCTGTTAATACCGTGAGTGTATAGAAAATTAAACGTTGATGATTCCAACAGCGCCATTACCGCAGCCGCACGTGGCGATACCAGAACCAGCCGTGGGCAGCGTACCTTCGAACGACACCGCACTCAGGAACGGCAGAGAACCGCTCACCAACAAGGTGCCGTCGATCACATTCTCTGATGCTACAGCAAGACCACTAGGACCGATGGGAGAGATGTTAGTGACGACCAGAGGGCTGCTGGAACCGATGCTAAGGCCACCGAGGTTGAACGTTACGCCATTCAATGCAGAACCAACGAGACCAGTGTTACCGCCAATAAAACCGACTCCGCTGCCGATACCCCCGCCAATCACACCGACACCGCTGCCAATCACACCGACACCGCTTCCTATGCCTGTGCCAAGCGAACCGAAGCCGTTTGCAAATCCTGTGTTAATCAGACCAGCGCTGCCGATTCCAGTATTAGCAACTCCATAGGAGCCGATTGCGGAGTTAGCTACGTTGATGGCGTTTGCTCCAGAGTTTCCTGAGACGATATTTTCCACAAACGTGTTGCCGGTGTAAACTTGGCCGAAAACAGCCTGTGAAAGATTAAAAACATGGTATCAACTCAACTCATTTAATCTTAAAGAAAAAAATTTCGGTTGTTTTTTTTTAAATATATTTGATAAGAATGGATTATAGTTATGACGAATGGCATTTTATAGAAATATGTTTTTTTATATAATTGACTCGGTAAAATATTTTTAAAGTGGTTTACGAGTAAAGACTTCTAATTTATAAAATCTTTCTAGACAACTTATATTCTTCATCCTAATTAAATGTAAGAACTCTACAGAAATTTAAATATTTTTAATATCTACATCTGTGTGAAAAAACTTTACTTAATAGATTTTTTTTTTCAATGCCTTGATAATTAACATAAATTAAGTTCACTTTTTTATAGACTATTCTTTTTATTTTTATTTTCGAGAAATAATCATTGTTCGTCCAAAAACAACAAGTAGATGATACTGATTTTCAAGAAAGTGATATTTTTATATTAATACTAATTGTTGTCCCGCGACTTCGCACGTGTTTATTAAAGCCTATCTTAATGCCGTATGATATATGTAGCTAGCTGTAGTTGAA